ATTGAAAGACACACATTTCTCAGGAACAGCTGTTGGATGGTCTGTAGCCTCTGATGGTCTGTGGTCTGATCATGACACCACCCCCTCCAAAACGATCATGTTCAAGGACACAGTTTGGCGCAAGTCTTTTTCCTTTACGTCGATAAATCTGTTGATGTCCATCTGCAAAGGATAAGTTAAACCTGGATTCATCTGAAAAAATTACATCTGGCCATGTCCTGTTGCCAAGATTGGCCCCATTTGCTGCCCATCGCTGTCTGGCAAGTCTGTGGCGATGCAATAAGGTTGGACCACGGTACGGATGACGACACCGGAAAGTGAAGGCAGCAAGGCGTCCTTGCACCTTTTGGGCGCTGAAATGACGTTGACTTGTCCCAATTGTCCTCCTTGCCTAATCATCAGCTGTTTGGAACCGATTTCGCAAGTGTGAAACTCGGATATTGCGCGGTTTTGTAGAGCTGTTATCACAGGTGGTGCACCAGGCCGCGGACGATCAGCAACACTTCCGGTAGCCCGAAAACGTTGTCAGAGTCGACTTACAGTGGATGGATGCACATTAAAGTGCCTGGCAATCATCACATCTGAAGCACCTTGGCTGACCATACTGATAACCTGATTCCTTTCGTCTTGTGTCAAGTGTGGCATTTTCTCAAAGTGATTGAGTTCCACAATTCCTTGTGCTTTTACAGGGCTGGGTGCAGGTAATGCATGTGCACAACGTGTTTCATGAATGTGGTTGTGTTTACGAGAAATGTCAAAGGTTCAGGTTTAAGTATTAAAGTTCATGTGAGAGAAATGCTCCGGGACTCGCACTCCAGGAAATGGGCCAGAATAACAGTCTTTTATCCCTACATCCTCTGTATCGCAGGAAAAAATCTTCAATAGAACTTTTGTAAGTTTCAGGACAACAAATACCAATTGCGTTTTTAATGGCTTTCAGTATACCTATATGTCTTTCTAACGCTGTTTCTAAGCGTGACACGCCCCTGTGAATCAGGGGTAGAATAGGTCCTGAGCACACTATGATAGTCGTGAGAGAGTACAACATGGCGTAGGTTCAAGGTTATATAAGGGCAAAACACATTATGCTAGTCGTGCGAGGGTCCAAATTGGAGTGATTTAAGGCTAGAATAGGTCCTAAGCACACCATATTAATCGGGAGATGTTAAAACATGGCGTGGTTCAAGATTACAAAGGCCACGAAATACTATGCTGGTCGTGCAAAGGGTACAAAATGGCGAGATTCAAAGCTTGATAGGTCCTGAATAGGTTACACTGACTTTATTTAGTAGAATCGATAGATCGTTGTTTTGGTTTAAGAACAAATATAATGATCCCTACCGATCAATTGATCTATTTCGTTGCCAATAACAACAGGGACAGGCAGCTCGGGATCAATTGAAATTCTGAAATCACTAACTGCCTTGACATGGAATCATTATCAGTTAAGACTGCGTAATTTCACGCATCAGAAACTAATACACCAGTCAATAGTCAGGCCACACCTGTGCTTTCATGCAGAGCCGCGCTTAAGGTTTGTGTACACCACTAATTCTAACCCAAATTTTCACTGGTCCGTGTACGAAATATAACACTAATGACTGAAGTTTCAAATAGTTTCAGGTATCTGTCCATGCGGTTACCGACTCATGGGAGACACATGCGTGATGGTGTACAATACACCAATACCCAACGCTCGAGCAAGGAGCAGGTGCCAACAAGATGGCGGAGATTTGATGGCCATGACAACTGGTGACAAGCTAACAAGGCTCGTGAATCACATGCAGGAACATGGTTTGTGGTTGTTATATATTCAAACACTTTAGCGAAAAGCGTAAACAATCGAAAAGTGCAAAAGTGAGTGAGTTTAGTTTTACAAAGTTTTAGCAATATTAAAGTAATATCATGGATGGGTACACAAGAATTGGGCTTCACACATCGTGCTCACGTAGGGAATCGAACCCTGGTCTTTGGCGTGACGCGCAACCGCTTTAACCACTAGGCTACCCCCACCGCCCAAGTGCCAAAGAAATTGTACCAGGTTGTGCAAAATGCTGCACCCTACGACAGCACCAATGTGAAGATCTAACTATTCCCTTTCACGTATACAAAAGTGAGACACGATGAGCACGAATGATGGACTAAGCGCCTGAACACCTGTATCTTATTCTCTTTTGTGTTTTGTTTGATTGTTTTATCTGGCACCGCTCTCTGGAATTTCCCGGTTTTCGGTGGTTTTCGATGGTTTTCTTGAAATAATCGAGTCTGGACCAGACAATCCACTGATTGACATCATCGTCACCGATCTACGCATTTAGAATATGATGACATGCATCAACCAAGTCAGCGAGCCTGACCGCCCCATCCTGTTTGTCTTCTCTTGTGACAAAAAGGGTTACTGAAGACCAATTCTAACTCTGGTGAAATTCTGAAAGGGGACACATTACATCTGTGTTACGACGCTGCAGCGAAGGTTTAATTCGACACAGAGCTTTTTGACCCCAACCAATGAGTGAGTGAGTTTAGTTTTACGCCACTTTTAGCAATATTCCAGCAATATCACGGCGGGGGACACCAGAAATAGACTTCACACATTGTACCCATATGAGGAATCGAACCCGGGTCGTCGGCGTGACGAGCAAACGCTTTAACCATTAGGCTAAATGTGAATACTAGCTCCTATGAAAATGACAATCAGTGTTTGAACTATGTTGTTATCAGCTTTATGGACCTCTTCATCCAGGTAAGTTAAAGGATTCTGCTGATGGTCAAACTTCTATGCCTTTGCCAAGTCTTTCTTTTTCCTTTTTTATTGAGAGACACTTGATACGACAATTCATTTGAGAGTGACTAAAGTGAGTTGTTTTGGGTTTGTTTGAAAACGTGCAGAAAGACGGAGATATTGAAAAGAGAAAGACAGCGGATTCTAGCCCTACATATGTGCTGTCAACGTGGCTGGAATTAATAAACGAATTTAAAAGGTGAGTTTTCGCTGTCCTGGGTGATCCATGATTTTGGCTTGGAATTGCGGAGGTAGCTGTTTTCGGTGAGTCGTGGCGTATAACTTTTGAAAATAATGATCCGATTGTGACCATTTATAGCTCATTTTGTATGGAAATCATCTAGCTTTAGCTCCATAGGCCTCGACGGGGGTCTTAAAAATAGTTTACGTGGTGAAATCTAACTTTGAGGAGGGGGTGGTTCCGTCGTTACATACCTTTCCTTTTATATAGTACTAGGATAGGGTCTATATATACTGAAAGCCATTAAAAATGCAATTTGACATTCATACTTTCTTTACTCACACTAATTTCAACATATATAAACCTAACTGGCAGATATGTTTTAAGTGAACATCTGTGAATACTTTCATCTGAAAATGTCCAGTCAACAACAACATCAGTGACGCAACAATGACATCACACAAAGGCGGGGTCACTTGCAGTCAATATCGTGTGTGTCCACCGTGCGCTGCAAGCCATGCTCGCACTCTTTGGGGCATTGAAAGACACACATTTCTCAGGAACAGCTGTTGGATGGTCTGTAGCCTCTGATGGTCTGTGGTCTGATCATGACACCACCCCCTCCAAAACGATCATGTTCAAGGACACAGTTTGGCGCAAGTCTTTTTCCTTTACGTCGATAAATCTGTTGATGTCCATCTGCAAAGGATAAGTTAAACCTGGATTCATCTGAAAAAATTACATCTGGCCATGTCCTGTTGCCAAGATTGGCCCCATTTGCTGCCCATCGCTGTCTGGCAAGTCTGTGGCGATGCAATAAGGTTGGACCACGGTACGGATGACGACACCGGAAAGTGAAGGCAGCAAGGCGTCCTTGCACCTTTTGGGCGCTGAAATGACGTTGACTTGTCCCAATTGTCCTCCTTGCCTAATCATCAGCTGTTTGGAACCGATTTCGCAAGTGTGAAACTCGGATATTGCGGTTTTGTAGAGCTGTTATCACAGGTGGTGCACCAGGCCGCGGACGATCAGCAACACTTCCGGTAGCCCGAAAACGTTGTCAGAGTCGACTTACAGTGGATGGATGCACATTAAAGTGCCTGGCAATCATCACATCTGAAGCACCTTGGCTGACCATACTGATAACCTGATTCCTTTCGTCTTGTGTCAAGTGTGGCATTTTCTCAAAGTGATTGAGTTCCACAATTCCTTGTGCTTTTACAGGGCTGGGTGCAGGTAATGCATGTGCACAACGTGTTTCATGAATGTGGTTGTGTTTACGAGAAATGTCAAAGGTTCAGGTTTAAGTATTAAAGTTCATGTGAGAGAAATGCTCCGGGACTCGCACTCGAAATGGGCCAGAATAACAGTCTTTTATCCCTACATCCTCTGTATCGCAGGAAAAAATCTTCAATAGAACTTTTGTAAGTTTCAGGACAACAAATACCAATTGCGTTTTTAATGGCTTTCAGTATACCTATATGTCTTTCTAACGCTGTTTCTAAGCGTGACACGCCCCTGTGAATCAGGGGTAGAATAGGTCCTGAGCACACTATGATAGTCGTGAGAGAGTACAACATGGCGTAGGTTCAAGGTTATATAAGGGCAAAACACATTATGCTAGTCGTGCGAGGGTCCAAATTGGCGTGATTCAAGGCTAGAATAGGTCCTAAGCACACTATATTAATCGGGAGATGGTAAAACATGGCGTGGTTCAAGATTACAAAGGCCCCGAAAATACTATGCTGGTCGTGCGAGGGTACAAAATGGTGAGATTCAAGGCTTGGATAGGTCCTTCATAGGTTACACTGACTTTATTTAACAGAATCGATAGATCGTTGAAAAAAATGTTTGGTTTAAGATAAAATAAAGTGATGGAAGTAACCCTACCCAATCAATTGATATATTTCGTTGCCAATAACAACAGGGACATGTAGCTCGGGACTAATTGAATTTCTTTAAATCCCTAACTGCCTTGACATGGATTCATTATAACTTCACGCAACAGAAATAACAGTCGATAGTCCAACCACACCCGTGCTTTCATGCACACTCAAAGCTGCAGTCACACTCAAAGCGGCATGTACACCACACTGTAAAGTTCTGTGGGCAACAACGTCGGGTTAAACTTGTGACATTCTGAGATGTATGGGCTTACCCTACTAGTTTCCTTCTGTCTTCAGTACACCTACAGTCATACCGTGGTGAGTCACTTCACAAGGGCGGAAGAATTAGAGGATAAAGTTGGGAACGAGTGGATTCGGGAATTGGCCTACGACACATTTGTTGACTGTGCAGGACTTTGTTTTAAAGATGAAACTTGCTGTAGTTTTTCATTCTACTCTGGAGCGTGTTATAGACATATCTCACACTCGTCATCGCTGTATGATAACTCGACCGGAATGAAAACGTTCTTCAAGAAAGGTAAGTTGCTGGTATGGAAGGAAATACTCAAGGGGGGCTGTTGCGACTGTCCAAAGATATTCAAATGCAAACAAGTAAGGACAATTTATATGGACTTTTGTTACCTGTTAACCGGTAATCAGTCGGTGAAAGGGCTAGAATTGAGGCCAAAACAAAGCTATGTGATGTAATTAACCAATAAATTATTGTATTTCTAAAATTAAAGTTATGGAATAAAAGTTCAGAAATCAATACCGCAGTAAATAGAGTGGCAGTACAAATTCAAATATAATAAAACTCAAGAGCAATGACTATAGCAATAAAGATAGAGATGGTAATACTCACCTCTCGGCAACATTAATCCAAGTTGGAGGCAAGGGCTACCCAGAGAGTGTCCTGGGTATAGAGAGATCACACAAAAAGTTGGTTGGTTGGTTGTACCCAGTAGGGTACTATGAGTGAAGGAGTGAGTTTAGTTTTACGCCGCAGTCAGCAATATTCCAGCTATATGGCCGTGGTCTGTACATTTTCTGGATCAGACAATCCAGTGATCAACATCATGAGCATTTGTCCTACGCAACTGGGGTACGATGATATGTGTCAACCAGGTCACCGAGCTTGATCACCCGATCCCGTCGGTCGCCTCTTACGACAAGCATGGGTTCCTGAAGATCAATTCTTACCCGGATCTTCACGGGTCTTCTTGTGGCTCGAGATGTAATGACATGATACCTAAGAAAATGATGCGAGAAAATTCTACGCTAAGACATAAGTTAAAGCTCCTTGTAGCACTTTCCTGAAACTTCTATACTGTTCTCAGCATCACGGGAGATGCCTGTAAGGTCATAGGACAAGTCTAAATATAGCACACCACTGTTTCTCACTGAATACCACATGTACAGTACTTCTTTTCGCCGGTACACACACCAGATGTCAGTCGGTTCAAACCATTGTACTGAACCCATGTGCACTGGTTGATTACAAGTAAATGAAGAACATCGTTACAACTATTCATCTTTATATTGATACCCAAAGAAGTGCACACTAATAACATAATCTTCTTTGAAATAAAATTAAAGAAATCTTAGTTGTTTTCTGTCCATAAGCCATAATGCTCACATCAAAAAGAAACTGTAACAGACGCACTGTGTATCTGTTATTTATGGAATCCTGGAAGGGACATTGTCGCGTTGTGGCATTGTCGCCTTGTCGCCCTCTCAAATACAAGCAAAATGAGGTAAAATTAACCAAAACGCGACGCCCGACATTGCGCCCATTTGTCGCATTGTCGCGTGTCGCGTTATGAATAATATAATTTTTTATTCCTCGAAAGGGCGACACGAGACATAGCAACAATTTTCAAGGTCAAAATATGTCGCGTTGTCGCCCTATGTAAGATGTGTAAAACAGCCTAAAATTTTTCACTAAAACGCGACACGCGACAATGCGACAACGCGATATTTTGATGAAATGTCTCGTTGTCGCATTGTCGCGTGTCGCGTTTTGGTTTATTTTGCCTCATTTTACTTGTTTTTTGAGAGGGCGACAATGCGACAACGCGACAACGTCCCTTCGCGGATTCCATAGTTATTTAATAATCAAACTGGATTTACCCTTCTAACATAAAATGCTATAGCAGTATGTCAGTTCTTCATAAAGAATGAACTTTTGTTACGGTGACAATAACAATTAAATCCAATACTGACTTTGAATCATGCCATGTTATATCAATAGACGGTTCTAATGGAATAGTGCTGTCGGAAACAATGAGTTTGTCTGGTTAATGATCTACAGAAATAACGACAATTCTACAACTGAATTACATGTTGCTATGCAGCAAGCACGAGGTAAATGTGCGTGTGTAACTCATTGTACCATTGTTCGTTGTCAAGCTGGCAGTATTTGCTGTGTGCACTTTCTCACCTCCATACTCATCGCATCTCAGTTTCGTAGATTGAGAATTGATCTTCAGTAACCCGTGCTTGTGGTTAGAGGCGACTAACGGGATTGGGTGGTCAAGGCCCATGATGTTGATCAGTGGATTGTCTGGTCCTGACACGATGATATACAGGCTGTCACCATATAGGTGGGATATTGCTGAGTGCAGCGTTAAACAACAAGCAAACAAACAAATCTCACCTCTATACGATATTTGATTTGTTGTTTTGTTGTTAAACGCCGCCCTCGGCAATTTTCCAGCTATATGTCCAGTAACTAGCATCATAAACATCGATTTACGAATTTAGGATATGATGACATGCATGAACCAAGTCAGCAAGCCTGACCACCCGATCCGGTTAGTCGCCAGTTGTTAGCTCTTGGGGAGCTGAAGACTAATTCCAACTCGGATTTTCACTGGTTCCTTTACGAAATACAACACTAATGGTTGGAAATAGTTTCAGGTATCTGTCCATGCGGTTACCGACTCATGGGAGACACATGCGTGATGGTGTACAATGCACCAATACCCAACGCTCAGGCTAGGAGCAGGTGCCAACAAGATGGCGGAGATTTGATGGCCATGACAACTGGTGACAAGCTAACAAGGCTCGTGAATCACATGCAGGAACATGGTTTGTGGTTGTTTTATTTATATTCAAAGGCTTTAGTGAAAAGCGTAAACAATCGAAAAGTGCAAAAGTTTGTGAGTTTAATTTTACACGGTTTTAGCAATATTATAGTAATATCACGGCTGGGTACACCAGAATTTGGCTTCACACATCGTGCTCAAGTAGGGAATCGAACTCTGGTCTTTGGCATGACGCGCAACCGCTTTAACCACTAGGCTATCCCCACCGCCCAAGTGCCAAAGAAATTGTACCAGGTTGTGCAAAATGCTGCGCCCTACGACAGCACCAATGTGAAGATCCAACTTCCCTTTCATTGTATGCCAACGCATACAAAAGTGAGACACGATGAGAATGAATGATGGACTAAGCGCCTGAACACCTGTATCGTATTCTCTTTTGTGTTTTGTTTGATTGTTTTATCTGGCACCACTCTCTGGAATTTCCCGGTTTTCGGTGGTTTTCGATGGTTTTCTGGAAATAATCGAGTCTGGACCAGACAATCCACTGATTGACATCATTGTCACCGATCTACGCATTTAGAATATGATGACATGCATCAACCAAGTCAGCGAGCTTGACCGCCCGATCCTGTTTGTCTTCTCTTGTGACGAAAAGGGTTACTGAATACCAATTTTAACTCTGGTGGAATTCTGAAAGGGGACACATTACATCTGTGTTACGACGCTGCAGCGAAGGTTTAATTCGACACAGAGCTTTTTTGACCCCAACCAATGAGCGAGTGAGTGAGTTTAGTTTTTCGCTGCTTTTAGCAATATTCAAGCAATATCACGGCGGGGGGACACCAGAAATGGGCTTCACACATTGTACCCATGTGGGGAATCGAACCCGGGTCGTCGGCGTGACGAGCGAACGCTTTAACCATTAGGCTAACCCCACCCACCCCACCGCAACCAATGAAGTCCATTGCATATATGTTGTCGAAAAGAGATACATATGAGATATATACTTTGGCTTGCAGGAACAGACATAACGCAACGCCGAACAGTTGGGGGTCATGTCGACACCAATCAGCAGTGGAAATGGCTTGACGGATCACAGGTTGACCTTACACAGCACGGGTCCTTTTGGTGCCAGTCGGAGCCGAATTTCTTGAACATTCAAAAATGCATGCAGCTGTCTACGAATTCTACCTGTTTTAGAAACAGCAGATGTGATCGAGAATATGGGTATATTTGTGAGGTGCAGAACTAGCTGTTATCGCCTAATAGTGTATTACTGTAGTCCGCTTACAGTGAAACCACAATACTATTTACCCTGGGTTAGTGAGTGGATTTTGCAATATACTGACGTACAAAAGATGGAACACACTTGGTGTTTTAGGACCATTCATATTCTTCTGTATCAGCTCCTGAAAGATACAATCTTGGAAAAAACATACTTGAAAATTGAATGAAAATATAAGAATGTACATTTGAATATTAGCTCCTATGAAAATGACAATCAGTGTTTGAACTATGTTGTTATCAGCTTTATGGACCTCTTCATCCAGGTAAGTTAAAGGATTCTGCTGATGGTCAAACTTCTATGCCTTTGCTCAGTCTTTCTTTTTTTCTTTTTTCTTTTTGTCAAGTTTTATTGAGAGACACTTGATACGACAATGCATCTGAGAATGACTAAAGTGAGATTGTTTTGTTTGTTTTGGGGGTTTTTTGGGGGTGTTTGAAAAACATGCATAAGGACGGAGATATTGTAAAGAGAAAGATAGCGGGATAGACACAGGGTGCAGAAAGGATTTACTCACAAGGAATACTGGGGTTTTTTTTCGTGTGTTTCTTTTTGTTTGTTTGTTGTTGTTGTTTTGGGGGTTGTATTTATTTATTTATTTTTATTTTATTTTTTTTTGGGGGTGGGGGTAGGAATAGTGTTACATCAAGGGAACGGAGATGAACACTTTATACGGAATTTTACATCATTTCCCCAAAAAAACAAAACATTGTTTTGTTAGTTTGAATTGATATTTTTATGAAATATATCACTTGGTTGATATTTATTTAAGTAGAGTCATATCTTGTTTTGTTAATGTATTTTTTGATGATAATAAAAAGGTGGTTAATCAGTCTCAGTCTTTCTGGTATTAACATGGGTAGCCATCTTGCAGAGTGTTCAGTTATCATCGTCTGTGTTGCTTCTAATTTATTGTGTCAATAATATGTTGAATTGTAACTTGTCGATCATCGATAACCAAGAATAGTTAGTATCGATTATAATAAACACATTCCATTTTTGTTCAACCAAGAACTTGAAACAATTAGTTGTGTTGTTTAAATATTAAGGGACCACGTTTGTTGTTGAAAGGAGGGGTTCAGTGCAAATTTTGAAAATGTATTTTTTATATTCAAGATTTAAAACAATTGGCAAAGTGGAACCTAGACCCTGTATTCAACCAATATAATTGTATTGGGTAAATGTTTTCAAATTGCAAAACAACTTGTTTGTCCAAAGTGATGAATTGACGGAGTTAAGTTTTACACCGCTTTCAGCAACATTCCAGCAATATCACGCCAGTTTACACCAGAAATGGGCTTCACACATTATACACATGTGGGGATTCGAACCCGGGTCTTCGGCGTGACGGGCGAACGTTTCAACCACAAGGCTATCCCACGGCCCTTCTTTGTCCAAAGAAGAGGTACAGCGTAAAGTTTGGTTCCGATTTTCTATTTTTTAGGATCACCGTCCATATGTTTTTCGTGCGAGGGTACAAAATGGCGTGATTCAAGGCTAGAATAGGTCTTAAACATACGATGCTAGTCGTGAGAGGGTACACAATGGCGTGATTCAAGGCTAGAATAGGTCTTAAACATACGATGCTAGTACAGCGTAAAGTTTGGTTCCGATCTTCAATTATTTATGATCACCGTCCATATGTTGTGCGAGGGTACAAAATGGCGTGATTCAAGGCTAGAATAGGTCTTAAACATACGATGCTAGTCGTGAGAGGGTACACAATGGCGTGATTCAAGGCTAGAATAGATCTTAAACATACGATGCTAGTCGTGAGAGGGTACACAATGGCGTGATTCAAGGCTAGAATAGGTCTTAAACATACGATGCTAGTCGTGAGAGGGTACAAAATGGCGTGGTTTAAGGTTACAATAGGCCCCGAAAATACTATGCTAGTCGTGCGAGGATACAAAATGGCGTGGTTCAAGGTTACAATAGGCCCCGAAAATACTATGCTAGTCGTGCAAGGGTACAAAATGGTGTGATTCAAGGTTACAATAGGCCCCGAAAATACTATGCTAGTCGTGCAAGGGTACAAAATGGTGTGGTTCAAGGTTACAATAGGCCCCGAAAATACTATGCTAGTCGTGCAAGGGTACAAAATGGCTTGGTTCAAAGTTAAAGTAGGCCCCGAAAATACTATGCTAGTCGTGCAAGGGTACAAAATGGTGTGGTTCAAGGTTACAATAGGCCCCGAAAATACTATGATAGTCGTGCAAGGGTACAAAATGGCGTGGTTCAAAGTTACAATAGGCCCCGAAAATACTATGCTAGTCGTGCGAGGGTACAAAATGGTGTGGTTCAAGGTTACAATAGGCCCCGAAAATGCTAGTACTATGCTAGTCGCAAGGGTACAAAATGGCGTGATTCAAGGTTACAATAGGCCCCGAAAATACTATGCTAGTCGTGCGAGGGTACAAAATGGTGTGATTCAAGGTTACAATAGGCCCCGAAAATACTATGCTAGTCGTGCAAGGGTACAAAATGGTGTGGTTCAAGGTTACAATAGGCCCCGAAAATACTATGCTAGTCGTGCAAGGGTACAAAATGGTGTGGTTCAAGGTTACAATAGGCCCCGAAAATACTAGGCCCCAGAAAATACTATGCTAGTCGTGCGAGGGTACAAAATGGCGTGATTCAAGGTTACAATAGGCCCCGAAAATACTATGCTAGTCGTGCGAGGGTACAAAATGGCGTGATTCAAGGTTACAATAGGCCCCGAAAATACTATGCTAGTCGTGCGAGGGTACAAAATGGCGTGATTCAAGGTTACAATAGGCCCCGAAAATACTATGCTAGTCGTGCGAGGGTACAAAATGGTGTGATTCAAAGTTACAGTAGGCCCCGAAAATACTATGCTAGTCGTGTAAAATAAAAATGTGTAATATGATGGAGAAAAAAACAAACAAATATTGATATTTGCAGATAATTGTGATGTACCTTGTCAAGCATCTCAAATTGTCGCTTTAGAAATGTTTCGTTTATTTTCACTTAACATGTCGCTAATGATACACTCAAAGATATATAATATATAATCAAATATATATCAATAATGCTTTTCTCCACATGAATCCCTCTACAAGATCATTGGTTTTCCCAGTAATGAAAGCCTACTTGTTTTTGCTGAATAACATGAAACATTCGTCATTGTTCCGACCCACAAAGCGTCAGTATAACATCTATGAATTAGTAAACAACATTACGTCAACTGTCTCTACAGGGTACATGCCATTAATGTATCGACTAGTCAAACAACATTTTGGCTGAGTATTGTCCACGAATTGTAAGTCGTTATAATATTCTGTATTACTAAGCTTCACAAGAATCGATATTAATTAGAGTGACATCGTGAGGCTTCAGCAAATATACCACAAATCTTGGTGAAAAATCTACTAAACATACTTCTACCAACGAAATAAATCAATGCCTATTAAATGCTGTCAGAGAATACAACAATCTGTAAAACAAAACTAATCAAAGATTTATTTGACGTTATAGGATTTCAGACCAGGATAATTTAAGTTAAATAACCTTTTCCACCGTTTACAAAACATCCCTCATAAATTGACAAGGGAATCAATAACCGACAGGGTTGTGTTTCCATGAAAGGAACGGGGAAGTTTAATTTTATCAAAATGTTTACCGCGATCGCTCCATATGTTAAAACAGAACGTATGTCTGCTCACTTAGCATTAAGATATCTATCTATCTATCATCTATAATCTATATCTATATATATACATATATATATATATGCGATTCTAGATTAGTTCATAGCCACCTTCTCGGTGTATTTTCACACATTCCTACTAACTGGTACGTATATAAGGAATCATGAGACTGACCACTGGATGTTACGGTCCTGATTCGATTCCATTCTTAACTGGACGCTGTTGTGTGTCAGGCGTTTTGTAGGACAGGGTTTTTGTAAATAATTAATGGAATCTTTTTAGTATTTTAATTAAATCCTTTCAATATTTTAAGAAAATTCTGTTAATATTTTGTGGAATTTTTTTTAATGCTTTGATGAAATACAAGAACGGACAAATTGCCAAGCAGCTTAAACAATGATGTTTCCTTTTTAAACCTACTTCCACTTTACCTACAGCATCATGCAATCTCATAGCATCCTTGTACTATCGGTAAGACTTGTTGTGAGGTTTCACAATTAAAAACTAAGACCGGGCTTTTTCATTTGAATTGCTTCAACAGCCTGCATCTGTTTTCTGGTTGGTTTAAAGTCATAATGGCATGCATCTAATGTCGATTTTTCATTGGTCTAAAGTCACATTGGTTCTTGTCAGGCTTGGTTTAACATCACTTTTACCAATATTCCAGCAATGTCACGACATAAGGAATGGTCATTGTTCCCATGTTAGGAATTGAACCTGGGTCATCGGCATGACGAGCGATTGCTTTAACCACCGGGCTACCCCCCCGCCCCTCATTCATAAGATAGGTTGTTGTTGAACGCCGCACTCAGCGATATTCCAGCTAAGTGGTCTGTAAATAATCGAGTCGGGACCAGATAATCCAGTGATCAACTGCAAGAGCAGCATCGAACTTCGCAATTGGGATACGATGACGTGTCAACCAAGTCAGCAAGTCTGAACACCTGATCCCGTCGGTCGCCTCTTACGACAAGCATGGGTTACTGAAGACCAATTCTAACCCGGATCTTCACGGGTCTAATTCCTAAGAACCCATACGCGCGATTAGGTGTATTTAGTTCACGTCACTTAAACCACTATTCTAAATCGAAAACGGTTTTCACTCATTGTCACCGTCTCCTTTGTGGCGTTGTAGACTTATCATAAAGAACCGATCCTGGTCGTTAGCGCGATAAGCCATACGTCTTCCTCAGTCATCACTCCCGGAACGTGAAAATAGCTTTTTCTTTCGTTTGAGGGACAAATTAGAAAGAAATTATTTTCTCCTTAAGTCGGAAAGCACAACAATGGAGGTAATTTGGTCTAGGAAAGGGTAAATTAGTGAAAAAGAATCGCCAAGCTGAAACGTCATTCTCAGTTGCGGTGCACTCGGGATTGGCTATATTTAACATTGATATTTAATATGAGATCGATGTGTCCATGAGCAATAGGCTGGACTAACCCTTATAGTTCATGGTTCCAATTGCTGCAACTACTGATATGATGACCAGGGAGGTGTGCTTTGTTTGTTTGTTTGTTTGTTGTGCTGTCGAGACATGGATCGGTATCCATAGTTACAATCTCAAACAAACCAGTTGCGAGTGTATGGATTGTGGATTGACCCTGAGTATGCGCTGACAAGCCATGAGAATATGTGCTTATATTTACGAAATGTGAATCAGTTACTCTTTAATCATGTTCATAAAGTGAGTGAGTTTAGTTTTACGCCGCTTTTAGCAATATTCCAGCAATATCACGGCGGGGGACACCAGAAATGGGCTTCACACATGGTGCCCACGTGGGGAATTGAACCTGGGTCTTCAGCGTCACGAGCGGACACTTTGACCATTAGGCTACCCTACCACAGCCATGTTAATAAATATGAGTTGATGATGGGTATGATGTTGGTGAAGATGGTGCTGTCGACGATGTTGACGATAATGTCGACGTGTAGCAGAGAATATACTGCGGTCAGTCAGTGCACCGCGTCGTATATCCAAATATGCTGAACTTCGGTGTGTTCTTGTGTCAGAGGAAAGAGAACTCAAGGTCACGACATATGTTGTCGACCCAATATTCGCCTGTCGTACATGCAGGGTCTCATAGACAGCCAAAATAAATATACTTCCTCAGGCGTTAATACCACGATAGGAATATAACGAAGTTTCAAATTTGAAAATGTTTTGCTGAAGAGTGAGTGAGTTAAAGTTTATAGTCACATCGGCAGTATTTCAGCCAAATAGTGACGTCGACGTTTCGCAGAAGACCTGGGTTTGATTCCCCACATGGGTATTATATGTGAAGCCTGTTTCTGGTGTTCCGTGCCGAGATATTGCTGGTATATTGCTAAAAGCGGTGTAAAACCAATCTCACTTGCTCAAGTCATTTAACCTGATAAATCTTAGCCCGTCGTCTCTGAATGTATATATTAAAGAACAACAAAGACAAGATTCAAAGAAAGCATGTTAATTGTAATATTCTAGTGATGTATCACAGACAAAACTCCAAGCTGTCATAATTTACTTCGAAAAATAAGTTTTAAACAAAAATTAAAAAACATAAAAAGCGGTTGTCACCTCTTCGACATTCACTTTTGGCATATAAAACCGTTTACACACACATACAGCATGGAAGAACTTGTATAAAATAATAAAATATTTAAAGATCACAAAAATTAAAAAATTGCAAATGAGTTTATCCAACATCCCTGAAATCACAACGTCAAGATAACAAAAGGATAAAAAAATAACAAAGAACGTGGTGTACATCAAGAATACATAAATTATTACAATAATCTAACTAGATAAACATACATCCATTATCTAATCAAAATTTTAACCACAACAAAAAAATAACTTAAGTAACATATATAATATGTTACACATACATAATATCAACCTACAATTACAACGGGAATGTAGAAGGCGTACGAGACATTACCTACGGTCTGTCCCCACCAGGACCTAGATTTTCGAAGCTCTCTTAGCGCTAAGATAGTCGTAAGTTAATGAATAGCATTTACGAAAGCTTCGAAAATGTTGGCCCAGGTTAATAAGCTGTCTAAGTTTAGGATGAATACTAGGTAAACCTCACAGACTCGTCGGTCGATCTGTCGTCATAAAGTTAAAGGGGGAAAATCCTTCAACTTAAATGAGTATTACATTTAGGAATAAACAATGCGAAGTACCGTTCAGAACACTGGCCTCAGATGAGAGCCGAGGGTAAGTACTAGAAATCAGCTTGTTGTGGCAACAGGTGGTTGTTGTGCTGTGCTGTTGTCTCCAGGTAATTGACCTTTCATATTCAGCAATACTTTCAGGTACCTGCAAAATGATTTGAGGATACGAATACACATGGAGATGATCGTGTTTTATACAATAATTCAGCATCTTTTAACTGTAATCACTGTCGATGTTTCTAGTTCACATTTGTAAAAAGATCAAATGGATAACAGAAGCTGTCCCTGACAACTTACTTTTCGATTTTCTCATCCAGCCAGGCTTTGTGCTTCAGTTTCGACACCCATGACACCGGAAGTGCAGACATTCCTAACTTACAGCCAAGGAGAGCTCCGGCTACAGCACCATTGGTGTCAGCATCTCCTCCCTTTACGGATGAAATGATAAGGAGCATTGTGAATTAGTGAAATATCTATGATCGAGTTTTCACAAATATTTTGGTGAATTGCACGTAAAGTCTAACAGTGGGCGGATAAACCCAAATTCAAAGACGAACTGGCTAACTGAAACAATGTCATCTGTAAAATTAACATACAAATTGATAGCCTGCCGCCGATCGGCAATTTGTACTAGGCCTACTTTTGTAGCTATTTTCTCTGGAAAGGTGTGGGGTGGTTCTTCCGACAGCCCCTCACAATGTTGTTGAACCATTTCCAGTTTTGTTAGTTTCCATGGTAACTATAGAACAAAAATGTTTCAGAGCAGTGTCCAAAAAGCAGAAGTTAACGACGGACGAAAGCGCGCCATGAGTTCACTGAACTTTCACTGGGATGATGGTCTGGGTCGACATCTCCGCCCAACAGAGGCATCCGTCAGTCGCACAAGATGCGTTAAAGGTGTTGGTTCGTTGCTTTCTACCGCGCAACAGTCTCAGTTTTATCAAAGTATTACAATACTACTGCAATAACGTGGAATTGATAATCAACGCGCATGCACGCGTGTGCGTGTGCATGTGTGTTTGCCTGTGTGTGTCATGCCGTGAAGCCCCTGCCCCCATGCTTACGCTATAATTTAACCCAGTTTTCCTACATAGTGTTAGCTAAAATACTAGCATACACTTCAACATTGCTACCTCATTCAGTCACATCCCCGTTTTATCCTCGGACACCAGGCAGGAGAACAACAAGTACCATAATTTAACATGTGTCAGTATGACGGTGATCACACCTCCAACCTTACGTTCTCCACACACAGCTCTATATCCACTAATTGGACCGATCTAACACTGAAACAGCATCCCGTTTCACAAGTCAGCGGCGAACATGTCCAAGACCACCACCCCTAGTTTACACCTACCTCCATAACGATTGTCTGCAGTGCCTTCCTGAAGTCCTTCTGCTTCAGAGCCCAGAACCCGCAGCCCATACACTTGTAGGTGTAGCCGATCTTTCTGCTTTCGTCCAGGTTCAGGTTTTTGATTTTCTCACACTCCAGATACGTCTTCAGCACTTGCTTCTGAACAGCCATAAATAATTCATTAGCATAACCGTTTATAATTTTCGTATAAAGAGAACAACCAAAATATAGGAAATGTTTTGCTTTTATCATTACGTTGGGTATACGTATTATTGTTGGTCTTAGTTAAAAAACGCAATTTCCACCAGTCACCTTAACATTACGACCAAGGATCATAATCGGACCGCAACCATCATGACATTTTTAACATTCGTCAGTATCACGGCATGGAGATGATCTTCGGCGCTGCATTTCCTAGTGCAGAGTGAATAGTTTTATGCCGCTTTTAGAAATATTCCAGCAATATCACGGCGGGGGACACCAGAAATGGGCTTCACGCGTTTTACCCGTATGGGGAATCGAACCCTTGTCTTCAGCGTGACGAGCGAACGTTTAACCATAAGGCTACCCACAGTCCCCACAGTGCAGAGATGCAGTCGGCAGGGCTCTGTACCTAAAGTAGCGCTACAGCTTCCTTAAATCTGTTTCGGTGAATCACGAACATCTAAGCGCCACGATAGCTCTATGGGACGGGGCCCAATGATCGTAGGTTCGATCCGCCTTCACACAACCGAATACTTTAACTGTTCAAAACGACGTTCAACCCAAACTCGCTCAATCACTCACTACACTCACCTCGTCATCGGTCTCCAGGCACTTGGAAGCAATCTGGAAGCAGTCTTCGATGATCTGCTGAACGTTGTACTTGCCGCTCTTCTTTAGGTGTTGTGGTTCTCTCTTCAACATCATACTGATGGCTGCGGACACGGCGACAGTTGACGCCTGACACCTTATAAAGACAAAACTTAACTTATAAGTTTGCCATTCAATACATAATACTTTCTGCATTGGGGAACCATGTCAGTATCAGTAAGAATCTGAAACTATTTATGAAACTACCAGAAATTATTCATTCAATTTGTGATGATTGCGACCATTCTGCAATGTACTTGGAAGTATGAAATAAATTTATTATAACGCCACAGGTATACATTAACGATGCACCTGGTAGACTTTTACCAACTCTTTGCAACCCAGGAGAATCGGACCAGTAGATCCTAACTGAACTAAGGTAGACAACGCGAGATGATGAGGTGTGCCACCTTAGGTCGCTTGGCTTTCCTAAGCCCAATGCTAAAGTACATGCGAGTCTAACATAAGTCTGGAGAGAATGTTTTAAACCTTTATTGCACCCATTCTGTTTGGTTTTCCAATCTTAGTGAACTCAGATGCGAAAGCATTCTGCGAAAAAAACAACCTATGCAAACTTGAACCGTCAGATCTGTAACATGGAAGCGTTGATTTCCTGAGCCTATCAGGAGTCAACTTTCTAAAACGAATGCCTTTGTTTCTTTACAGCCTTGGATGAGAATCGTCTACCTTTTGAAAAGTAATCCGGTTCACAACACAAACATTCCACCACACACCCATTCGAATCGATCTACACAGATGGGAACCGATGACATGTGTTAACCAATCCAGCGAGCCTGACCACTGGATAACGTTAATCGCCTCTTACGACAAGCGTGGGTTACTGGAGACCAATTCTAACCCGGATCTTTACGGGTATGTTATAAGTTAACACATATTGACCCATGTTGGTATCAACACGAACAATCATACTTGAGAGTGAAGTTGAAATCATTTTGAAGCTGAAATCTCATTCGCGGGTCATCCTCAATAATCTCCAGGGTATACGTTACGATCACTCTCCACTATACCCTGGATGCATCCACGGCTTGGGGCGATGATTTTATTCCCTCCCTTGGGTGGCTCTTTATCCAGTCAGGTACCTACGCTGGGAAGTTGAGCGTACCAATCACTACTCACTTTCGCGTCTTACATTATCTAACCGTTTAAACTTGGCAACACAATTGATGCAGAGGTACTCTGAAAGAAGTAGAAGGAGTTCTTTCATATATTCTTTTTAAAGTTTCAGATCTGTGAATTTGTCTTTATTACTTCCCCAAAATTTGAGTGGCACTGCGAACAAACCTTTGCGACTGCGACGGCGACCGCTATCTGTGTTGACACTGGCAAGCTCGGTTGTAACGGCGGCTTAGCTGATTGGCTACTGTGAGAATGCGAAGTAGGGTATAGTGGAGAGTGATCGTAACGCATACCCTGGAGATTATCGAGGATGATTCGCGGGTATGCTTGAGTAATATTGTTGGTCCAAGTTCACCTTAACGTTCAGACCAAGGATTAAAATCCAGTGGAACAGCACACGTTAAAGCTTGAGCTTACTTACCTTGGATGGTAATGGGTCGTCTTACATATAGCAATGGCATTGTCAGCCACGGCGTCAGTGTCCCAGTACTGGTGTATCCCTAGATATGACATCCTCATGACGGCGCCATTAGAAGCGACCTTTCTATGTCTCTACCACTTTTAGACGTGATGTCTCTACCACGTTAACGTTGTACTCCGCGTGGACTTACCTTGGATCGTAATGGGTCGTCTTACATATAGCAATGGCGTTGTCAGCCACGGCGTCAGTGTCCCAATACTGGTGTATCCCTAGAATTGACGTCCTCATGACGGCGCCGTTAGGAGCGATGTCTTTACCACGTTGCACCCACACACGCTGCGCCACCTAGGAAGGGTAAAAGGATACTTCATCACTTCGCATCATGGGTGCAACCTAGTCCCGACCACACCTTCCATTTAGGCGCCTCCACTGACAAACGAAAGTTACTGGAGATCACTTCTATCCCGTCATCTCATCACAAGGGGCGATGGGTTAGCCTAGTGGGTAATGCGTTCGCTCGTCACGCCAGAGACCCGGGTTCGATTTCCCAAATGGCTTGAATGTGTGAAGCCCACTTCTGGCGTCCCCGCCATGAATATTAATAAAAGCGGCGGCAACCCAACAATGTTGCAATGCAATGACTCCTGCACACTAATGTATAAGTATATATTAGCTACCAAGTTTACAAAGAATTCGCGTAGAATGCTCATGTACGTACCATCCTTCATTATCTAGTTTATAATATCTCCGTTTTATTGTGATAGTTACTCTTGACCCTTTCGCGATCAGGGGCGGTGGGGTAGCCTTGTGGTTGTAACGCTCGCTCGTCAGACCAAACACCAGAGTTCGATTCCCCACGTGAGTACAATGTGTGAAGCCCATTTCTGGCGTGCCCCGTCGTGATATTGCTGGAATATTGCTAAACGCGGTGTAAAGCCATTCTCATTCCCATTCGCTATCAACACTTCGCTGACGTTATCATCTCCATCGCTTCAAACCGAAACATGAGTCTCATTACCCTATTTAGACAGTGACCTACTTTCAGCCGATCCGAATATTCTCGTGTGAAAGTAGAAAGAGAAACCACAAACAACTATGGTTACACTGGATTTCAGTTCCTTGTTTCATAAGAAAATGGTATTTACAAGTGAATTTTAATTTTAAACTTTAATAATATCGATTTCTATATTTTATGGAGAGGTGTAGGCAGCATGATCTTAGCTAGACGTCAGTAACTGCCCCTGTTTGATGAGGTCGTACAATGATTCACATTCATCTGGCTCACTGGTTACACCTGTTCCATGTTTTTTACGCTTATGCAGTGTAGTTCTGAAACGCACAATGTGATAATAATAATATCAAGTCCGTACCAGACCGCCAAACCTTTCTAGCGGCAGAGCCTCGTTTTGAGGTTTCCATGATTTGCAGATTTCTGTCTGTCTTGTTACTTACCTTTCCTCAAAATTGATTAAACGGTAAATTATTTATGCAAAGTAATTAGAATCGGGCCTAAAGTATATTAATGGCCCAGAACGGGTCCAGGTATTTACAAAATACACTGTAATTATTAACATTGTTTGTGTATATTGTGAAACTTAGGATTAATTTGTACCGATATCATCACGTGTGATGAGAGAGAGATGGCCGTAAAGTCGCTTTGAATGGCGTTTCGGTTTGATCAGAAAGAAAGGGAGAAGAGCCCAAAGTGTCGATAATTAGTTAGCAATTTTGTTGAAACACATGAAGTTTCTTACTGACGAACTACGGTTTATCGTTCGGGCGAATCGTGAATTCGTACCAGGCGTTAGCTGCTGCTCCGCACAACGCGTTAGTCCACTGGGCCTTGAAGCCGCGAGCATTTATTGGGGGCCAATGATAGGTACTATACTCACAGCATGCGCCTCTTTAGGATAGTCGAGATTGTTGATGACCTCACAGGTGGTTCCGCCGATGCCCATACCACCAATATCGGACAGCTCTTGGAAGCCAAAACTGGACCATTTCTTTAACTTCCCGGCAAAGTTGACCGGTTTTACCTGTGTGTATAAGGAAGAAGGAGTAACAAAGATCTCAGCTGCTCTTCATTATCTTTACGCGTCTTTAGAGCGAAAATATATCCCCTGTCACTGATATTGTCCACCATTATCTATAGACAGTGAATGAAAACATCTTCATCGCCTGTATGTATCTAGACGACGAAGGGAAAATATCTTACCTGTCCACCATTATCTATAAGATTGTGGAGAAAACTATATTATCTGTCCACCATTATCTATAAGATTGTGGAGAAAAATACCTCACCTGTCCACCATTAATGTATAAAATTGTGGAGGAAAATATCTCTCCTGTTCAAAGTGTTTGCCCTTAACCCTGAAATGTGGGTTCTGATCAGAATGTGTAGGTTCTATATTTTAGCTACAATATAAGTAATTCCCAGCACACACAACATGTGACAACTAACAAAGTGAGTTAAAGAGTTTGATTTAGAAATTTAAACTAGAAATTACGAATGGTGTTTACTGGAAAATAATACTCTTAATTATTGGGGATGAAAAAGCTGCCGACCATAAGGACCCGCAGAAAACAAAAGCTAAGGACTGACGTTGATTTCGAATGCTGCCTCTCCACCATTAACTACCAGACTATAAGTGTAGGAAAATATCTCACTTGTCAACCATCATCTATAAGATTGTGGAGGAAAATATCTCACCTGTCCACCATTATCTATAAGACTATGGAGGGAAATATCTCATTTCTCCACCATTACCTTTAAGACTATGGAGGAAAATATCTCACTTGTCCACCATTATCTATTAGACTGTGAAGGTAATTATCTCTTTTGTTACCATTAGCTAGAAGACAGGACCCGTGAAGGTCCGGGTTAGAATATTGATCTTCAGTAACCCATGCTTGTCGTAAGAGGCGACCAAGTCAGACTCGATGACTTGGTTGACACATGTCATCGGTTCCCAAGTGCGCAGATCGATGCTCATGCTGTTGATCACTGGGTTGTCTGGTCCAGACTCGATTATTTACAGACCGCCGCCATATAGTTGGAATATTGCTGAGCGTAAAACTAAACCCAGTCACTCCCTCAAGAAGACAGCAGCTGAAATCATCTGCATTACCTATAAGAGGGAGATATTTATCTCATCAGCCAATCATTGTCTATAACCACAGGCAAATGTATCACAAATAGGGTTGCCCAACAAAGAGAAAATGACAAGTTTTCCAAAATGCGAGCAAAGCGAGCAAAGGTTGGCAACGTGCTTCCCTCGCTTTGGTTCGAAAAAAAATATATTAATATCAAAATAAAATATCACCATCATCAAAGGTAGACACCCATGTCCTCACAGAGTTGTGCTTCCAGATTTCCAATCTCACATCTAATAATTACTCACGTACAATATATTTAATTCAACATTTTAAGCGCCACTCGTGGCATGTCAAATCGTTCTTCGCCTCTATTACCCCTGCGAGATTCCGGTTCAACGGAAAATATTAAAAATATTTTTCGAACCGAAGCGAGGGAAGCACGTTGCCAACCTTCGCTAGCATATGGGAAAGCTGGTCATTTTCTCTTTGTTGCGCAACCCTATTCGGGCTACAATTTGCCTGTGCTATAACACACACTGGGGGATAATATCTCACCTGTCCCTCATTGTCTGTAAGGGACTGCAGGATGAGTATCATCTGATCAGTGTCATCTGTCCAGTCTCCCTCCTCCCACCGGGTCCTGTGCATGTCTGGACATATTTGTTTGTGTTCCAGCTCCAGCTGCTTCGACACCTTACCGTAATACTGAACAAAAACACAATATTTCACAAACATATCGACAGCAGGATATTGCCTGTACATTTCATATTTTAAGAATATATCAAACAACAATTATAAAATTACGACGCAAGATAAGCATATATTGATCTTATGAAACAATGGATCACCGCGCAATATCTCAGTTTCCGGTCTCGTTCTTGGAGTCTAATTTGTCCTAACCGTAGATGCAGGAGTGGAAATAACCAATTGCCAGTCCCAGTCCAGTGTGGTTTTTTCTGTCGGTCAAGCAAATTTGTGTATCACGCTGTACCGCTGTCCAGTTGACTTTCCAATGTTAATCATGTTGTTTATTTAAAAAATGGACAAGAAATTCGGCCGGTATAGAGGAAAAATAATCAGGGCAAGTGATTTTACATGTGCCACTGTACCGGAGTACACTAGTAATTTTAAAGTTATTTCCACCCCTGAGATGTCTTGTCAAACCTTGTGTGTAGATATATGCTTATGGTGTCAGTCACCTGCTCGTCTGGTCCAGCCACGAATGTTTCCTCATCGCTTAAGTCTCAGAATATATATAAATGTGATAGAAACACACAATTCCAGCTTTTGAATTGAAAATGGAGCCTCCCGTGACGAGCCAACGCTAAGGAAATCTAAGCTTGCTTTATTTAGGGCTTTATTATTGCAAAAAGGCCTGGGAGGAAGGAAAATAATGCGGTTTAGGGACTGTGAGACAGCCTATGATACAGTTGGTATACTAGTGTTGGGAATTGGTTAAAATCTCATAACTGATGATTGGTTCATTGCAACCGATCAATCATCGAAAATAATTGGTTAGCGTCATTTATCAATTTTTCCTGGTAATGTTTGTTAATGCACAGAACAATAAAGAAAAAAACATGTAGTTCTTTCGGGGTTTTTTTTCAAATTGCACAAAATGCATTTGCAGATTTAGCATCTTTAAAGGATTACTAGCTAGAAACATAAATAAACTGGAGTCTTAAAGACAAATTCAATCATGACTTGGAACGATCTTGTAGTGCTTATGAAATGTAACCGTCAAAACAAACCTTGTGATAAATATTGTTTATGCAAACAAGTGCTCCAGAATTGTTTGTGTTCGATTATGAGAAAACATGATCGATTGCTTGGTCGTTTAGTCACTGCGACCAATCTTCGATTATTTCAGTTAATCGGAGCACCACTATGGTATACTGCTGAGTGCGGCGTTGAACGCAACACTCGGCAGTGTAGGTGTGTAATGCAACTTTATGTTCCTTATGTTCATATGATGTAAGGGCGGTGGGGTATCCTAGTGGTTAAAGCGTTCGCTCGTCACGCCGAAGACCCAGGTTTAATTCCCCACATGGGTACAATGTGTGAAGCCTATTTCTGGTGTCCTCCGCCGTGATATTTGTGGAATATCGCTAAAAGTGGCGTAAAAATAAGCTCACTCACTCATTCTCTCATATGATGTAAATCTAATGATTACTTACACCTTCAGAATTGAAACCAAATTCAACGTACATATTCTAGGTTTGCGCAACATTTGATTCTCAAATCACTAGCATCTCTGCCAAGGGGCCAGATTGGAAATATTTTATGTATAAAGGATTGTTTTCGGTGATATTGTATGTCCGTTTCAGTCACTTCTTGAGTAATAAACACCCAAACGTTTCTCGGCGTATCTGCCAATACACCAACAGATCGCAGCATGAAACATTCTCTCTTAAAATCTGGGATCTCCCACGAGTTGTTGAAGTTGTGTTGGTCGATACGTCGGTAACTCTTACCTACAAGGCCTGGATCTGTTACGGTTTGATCTGTTGGTATTTAATCGATGTTCCAGCCATCAACCCGACTACATTTATCAACAGCCATGAAGGTTAATTCGGTTAATGGGTAGCCTAGCGGTTAAAGCGTTTGCTCGTCACGCCGAAGACAAGGGTTCGATTCCCCAAATTGCAACAATGTGTGAAGAATAATTTCTGGTAGCCTTCGCGTGATATTGCAGGAATATTGCTGCTAAACGCGGCGTAACACCGTACTCGCTCACTCTATTGATTAGGCTGGTAGTGTATCTCCCGATTGAAACTCGCTATAGTAGCTGACGATTCGGTACACTTACCACCCCTGCTTCTCGCTTTGTGAGGAACTCTGTCAACAGCCCGATGGCATCCCCAACAGCCTGGCCGTACAGAGTAGCTAGGATCTGCTCCGTGGGTAGTCTGCTGTAGTTTCGGGGGTAGGTGCCTGTAAATAATCGTTATGTATAATCTAGCAGTTTGTCCAGACTAGGACCTATGAAGATCCGGGCTAAATTGATCTTCAGTGACCCATGCTTGTCGTAAGAGGCGACTAACGGGATCGGGTGGTAAGGCTCGCTTTTTTTATGATTGACACATGTCATCATATCCCAATTGCGTAGATCGGTGTTCTTGCGATTGATCACTGGACCGTCTGGTCCAGACTCGATTAAATACAGAAATACTGATGAGTGCGGCGTAAAACTAAACAAACTCACTCATTCAAGACTAGGATTTACAGAACGCGTGTTTGCTGCTGTCATAGAGCTGGAATATTGCTCAGTGTATTGACAAACAAACATCATCATCATCATCATCATCATCAAGCTGCCATACGTATGACATTTATTTCATCGTCACGCTAACAGAAGCTTATTAGCTAGAATTCAATGTTATCTAATTGTAGATTAGATGTCAACGGGGCCATTTGTGTGTTTGCAAATGTCTGTTAATTACTCAATTGAGAAGTGATGGTTACGTCAGTGATGAGTTTACAACCCCACTGACTGCAGTTTTATTCACATTTAGTCATATTTATTCCGTGCTTCTGGCGACCAAGGATATATATCCAGCTAACACATTTTTCTACTTATCTTCTCATTAGATATAAAGGTTTTACTTATCAGTTATAAAGGTTATAAAATCCAAGTGGTGATCCAACACATGGTCAGATACAAAGCGTGCGACACGTGTGACGTGCAAGATTGACCCCCTAGTCGCGCAGTTTGATTGGTTAATCATGGTCAGGGTGCCGTTCCGCTAACCGATCTTATCTAAGATCAATCTTAGCAAGTTACGCCAATTTTACAATCGTCTTAGCTAAAAGTTACACCCGTTCCACTAACCGATCTTAGGCCGATCGTAGCATGTCCCGATCTTACGATCCGATCCAAGCTTAGATCGAGACTCTTTCGTGCGAGAGATAGAGGAATGCGAGGCACGAGTTATTTCCCTTTGCATGGCCTAGCAAATGATGGAAGTAGTTTACGAACCAACTGAGTGAGTGAGTGAGTTTAGATTTACGCCGCACTCAGCAATAGTCAAGCTATATCGCGGCGGTCTGTAAATAATCTAGCTAATTAAGATGCATAACGTTCACTAACATGAGCGTTCATGTTAGTGAACGCTATGTATCTTAGCTATAAATAATCGAGTCTGGACCAGACAATCCAGTGATCAACAGCATGAGGATCGATCTGTGCAGTTGGGAACCGATGACATGTGTCAACCAAGTCAGCAAGCCTGACCACCCGATCCCGTTAATGGCCTCTTACGACAAGCATGGGTTATTGAAGTTCAATATTCTAATCCGGGCCTTCATGGGTATTTTTCCAACCAAGTGTAAACGTGGGGAAAAAAACCTAGAGCAAAATATTAGGGTAGTGAGCACCTTGGTTTCAGGTGCAAGTGTGTGTGAACGCTGCGTATCAGGCATAATATAATAATAATAAATGCATATTTATAGTGCGCCTATTCCACATCCTGGGGCATGCTCAAAGCGCTATGTACAGATAATTTACACGAGAGTATTTCCAGACGAGATTATAAGTAATATACTGAGAACAGGTTTTAAGTCTGGACTTAAAAATGTCAATTGTGTCAGAGCTTTTATTATGTGCCTGAATCTTGTCAATCAGAATAAACAAGGCGTGACGAGGCATCCTCTATAACGTATCTAGAATCTGTCAGTGGTCTTGAATAACACGCGGCCTGCCTTTAGAATCCCCCACCAAATAAGCGCATGTGAAATCAAACATATTTGTATCTTTTTGTTTCAGAACATTGTTCACTTCATGACCCGTCCCTATTCTTAACCATGACGTTGCAATATTGTTGTACAAATGTGTTACACCGACTCGCTCGGTTGTGTTCCCATGACGACAGTGGTCAGACTGGCCTGACATTTGTAAGGCTTCAGTGCAGTGTTTGTTTACATCACAGAAATATACAAATTCATTTCATGGGGGATTTTAGGGGACGCTCACGGTGAAATGCTCGCTCTTATTTTTCACATAGAATAGGAAAGCCACCATTTTGGTTTCTCTACGATTGATTTTAGCTATCCTAAGTTGGTCATGAGCAACTTAGACTTTGAATCTTAACTTTACGATTGACTTGGGTAAGATTGGTTAGTGGAACGGTAAGCCGATCGTAACGTCACGCTAAGATTGGGATTTTAGGGGTTTACGATTGGCGTAGGGCTAAGATCGGTTAGTGGAACGGCACCCAGGACACTGGGTGACGCGCTCTCCCACCCAGAGCTCGCTGCTAAGTCATCGCTGCGCCGGATAGGGCAGATCACGCAGGTCCGGAACTGCTCCTGAACTAAACCTTAAGCCCCCTTTTAAGCATCGTCAACTTGCGTCAAAGCTATATTGCCGACATGAGAGGCGAGACCCAGCTTATTTAGCATCTGCTGTTGCACCCCATGCCGCCCCTAATCTAAATGAGTCCTGTTGTTGACGACACTATAGTTTGTTTGTTTGTTTGTTTGTTGTTTAACTCCGCACTCAGCAATATAAGGCGGAGGTCAGTAAATAATCGATCGATTCTGAACCAGACAATCCGGTGGTCAACAGCATGAGCATCGATATACGCAATTGTGATACGATGACATGTGTCACCCAAGTCAGCGAGCTTGACCACCATACTCGCTTCTGACGACAAGTCAGCGAGTGTTCCATAGGAGATATCGACCGATATCTCATACTTTTGACAGTAGATTTTGCTTGCCCTGACAATGCTATGACGTCATGTACGCTATGACATCGCTGCACTGCAAGTGTAATGGCAGTGCCATGTTCAGAGATGTACATTTTCATTGAAAATTAATGAAGAGTGATTTTGATGATAAATAGAATCTCCAACTCGTTGATAAAGTAAAAATATATCCTCGGCAAGCCTCGGATATTTGTAACTTTATCAACGTGTTGATATAATTGATATCACCCGGGTCGTCACGGGCCGCACCTCTAAGGCAAACGTGAAGTGTGCAAAGAAAGGATGGAGACGGTTAATGGATCAATGACTTTGTCGGCATTTGTGCACGTGCTCCGCGTTCACCTGGCTGTTCCTCCCTTTGCAGACTTCCTCGTAACAAATAGTGAACTGTGTCAAAATTATAAAGATAGCTTGTTAAACAACTTTTTCCTTTTTAGGTCATAAAATCACATAGTTGGTCTGATGTTATGATCATGATAAGTGTTTCATTGAGTATTCTATGTTTAGTTGTTTTCGAGTTAGATTGTAATTCATTGGTCCGATTTTGAGCCAAACGGACTATAGTGCACAGGCTTTTTGTAAAGTCAATTACTCCACAAGGGGCAGTGGGGTAGCCTAGTGGTTAAAGCGTTGGCTCGTCACGCCGGAGACCCGGGTCCGATTCCCCACATGGGCACAATGTGTTAAGCCCATTTCTGGTGTCCCCCGCCGTGATATTGCTGGAATATTGCTAAAAGCGGCGTAAAACTAAACTCAGTCAGTCAGTCAATTACTCCACAAACTCTTTCCTAAACCGGTAGGTTTCGTTCGTTGATACAAAACACAATTACAATTACATAGTGAGCATTCTGACGCCATTGACTCTACCAAAAGTATTACGTTTCAAACATCACCTGTAAATCAGATTTGGCGGACACGTACATTAAAATTCAGTGAGTTTCAATACACGCATGCGCGTCGCAAGGACAGTCGAGATTTCACATGTGAAATAAAGATACCTTTGTTATAAAGAATATATTTATAGCTAGAACTGACGAAGTGACCGTTCAGTATATTACGAAATGTAAAACGTGGCGAAATGGTGTATATATACTGAGGGAAGAAAATAAGAGATCACATGAAAGCACAAGTGTTCCTATATTATTTTTTTCCGGGTTTCTTCTTAAGCGTTGTATCGCATAGCTTGTGAGGAAACCTGGAAACAAATAAAGGAACACTTGTGCTTTCATGTGAGCCATTATTTTTTGCGCTCAGTGTGTGTGTGTGTGTGTGTGTGTGTGTGTGTGTGCGTGTGTGTGCACACATACATTAGAACATTTTAACATGCATTTTAATAGACGTTCGAATTCCCTGCTACCAGTTCTGAGTTTATATTCCATTATGAAGTATACCCTGAACGGAAAAATGTCACACTTGTCACTGTTCCCTTCCTTCTGATTATACTATTCATCAATGTCGTTAATCATGGGAACACGTTTTGGTGTTTAAGTTAAGAAAAATGAGATTGCAAAATACTCTCATGCAGTATGGAACACACTTCCCACAAATTATGCATACATACTGACACATCATAGTTCTCTCTAAAGAAACTGAAAGTAACACAATGCACAGGTACACAATAACTGATTGTACATAAAGTGAGTGAGTGAGTGTTGTAACCGCTAATATTCCAGCAATATCACGGCAGGAGACACAAGAAATAATCTTCACACAGGTACCCATGTGGGGATCGAACCCTGGTCGAATGCTTTAACCGCACTGCCGAAGTATTGCTAAAAACCGGGTCAAATCACACTCACTTTCCGTATTGTTTACGTCTCACGAGAGTCTTTGTAATGTCATAGCTTTGCACTAACACATGTTATATATGTTACAGCTGGGATTATAGTTTATCAGTAAAGTACAGATTCCAGTACATTATGGGTTGAGTTCCATCCGGGATTCGGAGTGAGGCACCTAATCGCCAGCATACAAAGTGTGCAATTTAACCCACTCAGCCAGTGCGGTTTTGACAACTGGCAATCTGGTTCATATATTCTGTGTACCCTTCTGATAAGTGTAAATTGGCACGGCTCCCATAGCCGAAAGTTTTGAATACACGAAGCCATTTAGAAAGTTGTCAATGTATGTTATACTCTGACAGTGTGGGTTCAAACCGAGTGGTCATAGCTTGTTCACCACTACAGATATGCACATGAATGCTTGAATGAAATATTGAGGTCTTTAAATATACATGTTTGTTGAACTTTTTTTAACGTAATACGTACAGTTACGCATATAGGTACTGAGGTTACAGAACAAGGATAGACCCGTAAAGTTCCGGGTTAGAATTGATGCCCATGAAACCCATGCTTGTCGTAATAGGCCCCTAACGTGATAGGGCGGTCACGTTCACTGACTTGGTTGACACATATGTCATCGTATCCCAATTGCGTAAATCGATGCTCATGCTGTTGATCACTGCATTGTCTGGTCCAGACTCGAATATTTACAGACTGCCGACATATAGCCGGAATATTGCTGAGTGCGACGTTAAACCTGAACAGGGATAAGAAAAGACGCAAATATACTTAATACCGATTTATGGAAATATTCAAATGACATCGCGAGTGTTTTTGTGCATAATAAATCATGACTGACAACACACAGCTCTGCGTGGACACAAGGTGTTCCCTGCCGTAATATGGGTTAAATGTGGCCAGATCAGTATAAATTATCCTCTATGACTGACTCAAATCTATTTCGTTGTTTCACATTCCTGATTTGAATACTTAATTGAATGCAATTTTATGTTACAAGCTGATCCATATTACTTATGCAAATTGAATATAAATTTATACTAATCATGGATAACTTACCGCCTCGGCCATGTCGATAGTTCAGCTTGGGTTGTATCGGAACTAAGACGACAACAAAATGCTACAACTGGTCCCAGTTCTTCGAATTCGACGTTTGACAGTGAAATTCTAAAAATAGAAACACTCGATCTTGTGTCATTGTAAGCCCTGTACACGCCCGTCAGCCAAGTATAATGTCTGTGGATGGTGAAATACTTCCTTATTTACTACGTCGCAGCACCACTGTATATCGACATGTCACAGTTCACTTGTCCAGGTCGTCTTCACACAATCGAAATATGACTAAGTCTTCCTGTTCGATGGGTTCATCTGCAAAGGGAGGCAACTGCGATGTACTACGCTTTTCTAAAAAATCTCCGATGTGCCTTCGTTGCGTAGGTTCGAACCAGTGAAGTCGTTGTTGAAATTCGAAAACGTTTTGGATTCAATAATTTCATGTTTCCAATATGTTTTTCATCTAGCTTTCGTTTTACCGTTGTAAGATTATCACCAAACCACCCTATCGTAGCTTGTTTACTGAGGAAGCCATCATTGTTGAGGCCGGGATGTGAGAAGCGCATTACTTTGAGCCACTCGCGGCAGGCAGGACACGAATCAGTCAATACAGTGAAGTACAGTTGCAACAAACTGAAATATCGGTCCCTTCAGTTCATTATAATCGTAGTTTATCGCATATTTTCCACCCACCGACGGGGAAATTCATTTTGATTAATTTCATTTCATCGTAAACATACTATCTATCTATCTGTCTGTCTGTCTGTCTGTCTGTCTGTCTGTCTACCTATATATTTCAACAGTAACTGTTTCATCTTTGCGTACGTTTTATGTCTAGTGAACTACCCGTGAAGGTCCGGGTTAGAGTATTGATCTTCAGTAACCCATGCTTGTCGCAAGAGGCGACTAACGGGATTGGGTGGTCAGGTTCGCTGACTTGGTTGACACATGTCATAGGTTCCCAACTGCGCAGATCGATGCTCATGCTGTTGATCACTGGATTGTCTGGTCCAGACTCGATTATTGACAGACCGCCGCCATTTAGCTGGAATATTGCTGAGTGCGTCGTAAAACTAAACTCACTCACTTGCTGCAAAATGCAAAAGAATCTCCTGAAAATGAAACACAGGAAAACACAGAGCGCGTCGAGTCAGATGCGCCCATTTATTGAGAAGAGAATGAGAGGTAATGTTAATGATAATCACTACTATGTATTCCTCCCCGATTATTTTGTCAAGTGCATGTTGGTTTAGAATCCAAGATCCTTGCTCACACCTCCGGAATATTGGACCCAATGAGCTGCCAGTCTGTGACACAAACCAAGGTCTCACTAACATATAGCCAAGTGCTGATTATGGCTAGGCCATTAAAACAATAATTCAACACAAAACATATATTTCTTCGGGTTTTTTATGATTCAAACGTCTTGTGATGTGTATGTATATCTAGTATACACAAGCATGTAAAACAACTGCCGAGAAATATGTGACGACTGGGCAGTTCTAGTGGCCATATATACTATTCCAAAAAAAAATGCATAATCCATAAATCTGTTGCGAAAATGTTGTATTTTTAAACATTTATAACTCGTCCACATATAGAGTTTAGTACATGAAGTTTTACATCAGTTTAGAAGAAGGTCATGTCTATACAACCGAATAGATAATTTAAGTTAACGGAGACCTTGAGCGCGACGGTGACGACGTAGCACGGTCCCGACGTCGGGTCTCCTGGCTCCCAGTCCAATCGCTCTCAACCTGTTCCGTACCGTTTTTACTGGATATCCTCCGAACTCCAGGCACCCTGGCTGTTGTGCTCTCACCCGAATTTAAAAGATTTATCATCAAATGTTGATCCTTTAAGCTACACATAAGTTTGGAAGAAATATATTTCGCAGGTCTCGATAGTGCTTTAACACAAAAAACACATATTATTCATCTTCGACCTGGTTGCTATTACATTTTACACATTTAATTTCACTTGGATTTAAATTTTTACTTTTACGCTCAGAGTTTACATTGAAATCATGCAAGGAGATCCTGAGTTTACAAAAAGCTTTTCTCAAAGATTTGTCATACAGTTAAATACTTTTCTGGCGCTAATAACGATTTTACAAGAGCGTAATGAGAAAGATATTTGGATGAGTGTACAAAAGAATGCCAATCTTGGTAAAATTTGTCTTGTAGTCTTTGTTTAAGATGAAATTATACATCTTTTTATCACCGACATCCTGTGATATCAATGCATAAGAGAACCCACACATGAAAAGAATATTTCTAGTATCAAACACCCAGCTATTTTTACCTTTGTCATCTAATTGTTTTAACATAACATAACATTGATACGGGTATCTATAAGCATCCATGCGTATTAACTTTATCCACTATCTGACTGCTCTTTATAATTGTGTTGAAACAAACATAGAATATCTACCTGTTTCGCCAAGAATCGCTTTGTTGGAAGCATATTTACCGACACCTAAATATGACGTTTGTATTTTCTCTATAGATTCATGATATTTTACACCCCAAATTTCAGAACCATATAATAGAATGGGTGCAATCTTATTATCAAAAATAGAAGAAGCTCCATTAAATGATATAAAATCATTTTGCATGAACAAATTATATACAGGCATTATTGCTTTAGATGCTTGAAGTGCTAACTGCTTACATGCTGTAGACCATACTAATCTAGAGGACATCATCAATCCTAAATACTTATAATATCAAACTATCTTCATAGTTGTATTACAATATGTCCATTTTTCAAATCTATTTACAATACCGCCAATTCTAAAAACAATCACATTAGATTTATCTAAGTTCACCGTTAAGCCCTATTTGGAGCAATAAGACTGTAACACATTTAATTGCTTCTGTAAGCCACTAACTGAATAAGATAACAAAGCAATATCATCTGCAAAAACACTAAGCTGGTGACAACCAAAACCAAATCATGAATGATTGAAAACCTATATCACAATGAAATTGCAACACGTCTATGTTATATATATAAAGCATTTTCGATTCCGATTCTATTCCAAGTATAAATATGTTTATGGATTAAAATCAAATGGTGATGATATCAGGTGTTTGTAAAAAGGTCTGTGTATCCTGATCCACAGGTCGCCTCCGTCATAAACACATGCAAAGGTAAGTGAATATTACACCTGAAGAAAAACAAAGACACACATCGCAAATGATACAGACAAAATGGGACCGTTCATAATTTATGGCGGGGTGGGGGTTGATGATGATGTTAAAGAGCGAGGTTCTTGATTCAATATCGGAAGAAAACACTGTACATATTTCACAAGTATTATTGTGTCTGATACAAAATGAGCTGTTGCTGACTTGCTGGGAACTTAAATTCTAGATTTAACAACAATTTTGTAGTGTCCGGCCGAATTTACTAAGCCTTGGCTCTGTGGCTCAAAGTCGTTCTGTGTCCCGGGGACGAGCGATATGGAGAATACCCTCAGGATTCCAGCGAAAAAGAGATGAATCTCGGGTTTTGCAACAGTCTCGCCGAGACAGACTCTCCTTCCGGCAGAGAATGGAAGCCAGCTTTCTGGCTTGGGGCCCATCTTCCCATCTGAGTCAAGGAATCGTTCAGGTTTGAACGTATTGACGTCCTCCCATCGGTCAGGGTCAAAGTGCAAAGCGTCGTGGTTGATGAACACCATTGTTCCCTTGGGAACATCGTATCCACCTGGAACAGCCCAACGTCACCATTACGTATTGCCTCGTTCATTAACAAACATCACTGGTACGCTGGCATGAATGAAGTCAATTTCATTATTAATAACAATTCTACTTATATTATCAGCGTCGCCCACCTCTGCGGATTTGTATACGAACTGGTCGAAGCAACATGCTTGATGCGACTGAGTGGCGGTTAGATCTGGATGATTGCGCGTCATCGATGCCCCGATCAATACCATATAATTGTCTGATCAAAACCTGCCGTATCCAAATTGCACAGTTCGATGCTTCTGGTGTCCAGAAGATTTACAAACTGCCGTCATATAGGACACGTAAGTAGGTCACGGCACTTCGCAGACCTTAGTACTTCTGGTGACAAACAACGTTGCATACCTTTTCGAAAGGTCTCATGTTTGACAGTAAGGAACCGATAATCCTTGCAGGAATACCAAATTTCCGATCTAACCATTCCCAAATTAGCCAACTATTACGACTGTCAACACCTGTGACAGACAAGCATTGTTATACACTTGGTCTTGTCTAGTAAAGTCATATTTTGCGTTCGTACAATTTGGAACCACAACTGGTTCTTGAATATACGCTTGTCACCGGAAATGTTTTACCGGAAGTAGCGACTCGCGAGACTTGCGGCCCCTATAGCTGGCATATTGCTGAGTACGGCGTTACACAGAGACACACCCAGAACAAACGTGCCGGTACCTGACATATGACCGACTGTCACGTTTAGCAGCAAACAAACATTCATCTGCATTATAAACCTACCTGCAGACAATCATCGTCAGCCGTTTCACCCGAAATGATACTGTTATACTCATGTCCTTAACACTGAAAGCAAAATAAAGAAATACCTACCAACTGTGGTATCACAAAGGGTGGAGTGAGGAACACCCACAGGAACGACTGTCCGCATCCTCATAACTTCATGCACCACTGCATCGGTGTATGGCAATTTGTCCCTGTCCGAAACGTGGACGTTCAGATCAGGATCTGCAACCACAGCAAATCCCAGAATGATGGAAGTGAGTGAGTGAGTTTAGTTTTACGCCGCACTCACCAATATTCCAGCTGTATGGCGGCAGTCTGTAAATAATCGAGTTTGGGCCAGACAGTCCAGTGATCAACAGCATGAGCTTCGTTCTACGCAACTGGTATACGATGACATGTGTCAACCAAGCCAGCGAGCCTGACCACCCGATCCCGTTAGTCGCCTTGTACGACAAGCATGGGTTACTGAAGATCAATTCTTGCCCGCATCTTCACGCTTACAGAATTATGGAAATAAGGAGTCCAGGAGACATATATGGACTATTCCCCTGGAGCAATATTCCCGTAGTTTAATAAATGTGTAATGGGTCTAATAAGGATCTGATGACACATAGAACAGAATAGTAAATGTTTCTGTTGAAAGACTTGACCACCTTGTCATAATGTGGCAACAGTTTCATGAAAATAATGTTTACTGATGTGTTATACAATGAAAAGGGGAATAAATGTTATGAATGACCCAATGCATAACGGTTCATGTTTTATCATCAAAGATGGTGAAGACCAGAGCATATCTCACTGCCTTCGCTGGTCACGGTAATGTATCCCATATAAACCATTACGAGTGATATGCAACAAGATTCTGCAACATTTAAACAGACTTTCTTGCAACCCACCAATAACTGAGTCCACCTCTTTCTGAACCTTCTTCTGAATGTCAGGGTGTAGAGCCATTGCCAGGAGACACCAGTGGAGCGTGTTCCTCGTGGTGTCTGTACCAGCTGAAACGTTAGATGGATAAATGATATTTACTGTTAAATAAATTAACATTGAGACAGGCTAGATTTCTGACGGACGGTTTAAATTTACAGCTAGCCAGACCGATGGTCGGGTCAAAAACTTAGACAACATTTTCCATACATCTGAGTAATTTTGTTAGGATTGTCTTGTTAGGTCAAATCCATTTTGGGCTGGTAACATTTTGAAGTTACCAGCCCTGATGTCTGGCTGGGTACTTGGCTTATTTCATACACTGTAATATATACATTTTACTATTCTGATGCTGCAATCAAGAAAGAATTTACAGACATAGACGTTAACACTTGGTAGATGTTGTCAAGGAAGGTTTTATGGACGGTCATCAAATGAATTCTTGTAAGCCATTAGATACGTATGTACCAGATAGTTGTGCAAGATTCATGACCAGCCATCACCAAACGTGTCCGAACTCATCTTAATGACGCAGCCATCGCTATTTCAGCATTGTGATTCCGACCTATATACTGTAGTCATATCTACTAGACCAATGGCTGTGGTACGATGTGTGCTATAAGCATCCAGTACCCCATGGATGACTCAACGAGGCAGAATTTATGCCTGCATATATACTGGACAAAATAAGTTAGGGATATTGGTATTTTCATGATTTATATTTTATCAGTGTGTCAGTGAATAAATAGATCATTATTCATAATTTCAAAATTTACATATATCCCTAACTATTTTTGTCCAGTATATAACAATGGTATATTGATGAGCTGACGTTGTTCAATAACAGTCAGATAGCCTCTTTCTTTACACTGATTTAATGGCTGACGATTTCACTATGCAGAGACTCGTTATGCGTGCCAAAGTATAGCTCCAAAATTCCTGTCTCGTGCGTCAAAAGCCGTAACTGGATTTTAATAGTCTGGTACCTCCCGTGGGAGGATGGGAGGATAACATAAACAAATTATTTAAAATATTCAAATCTCTAGGAAAGCTCACTGACAGAATGAGTTCGTGAGTATGCTCTTCACTTATAGTATAGCTTCTGACAAGTTTTATGGTAGAGACGTCTTGCAAATTTCAAAATATGACGCCTGACATGTTGATGTCTGATGCAATTGCCTAATTCGACTTATACACCACGTTCTCGTGTATATTTTTCAGGTGAATAATTTACTTGCCTTTACGTGTGTTTGTGACAGTTATCGATTGTGATCGTTTTTGTGACAACAATGAGTGAGTATGGATTTACGCCGCTTTTAGCAATATTCCCGCAATATCACAGCGGGGGACACCAGAAATGGGCTTCACACATTGTCCCCATGTGGGGAATCGAACCCGGGTCTTCGGCGTGACGAGCAAACGCTTTAACCACTAGGCTACCCACCGCACCTTTGAGACATGTTCTGTGTCAGAATCTCTACACGGATCTACCGTTTCATGGTCGGTGTGTGCACCAGGTGGTTTTACTGTTATTAGCATATCAGAGCATACTGTAATGCTTGGACAGAGTAATGTCATCCTCATCTTCCCATGTCTCCCCTCGAACTCACCGAAAACTAAGTCAAAGATGGTCTGGACCATGTGTGTGTTTGTCATCTGGGACATCAGGGTCGGGTCGTCATCCTCTTCGGCCTCTTTCTGCACCAGTATCAGAGCATCTGTGAAGTCCCGGACCTCATCTGTGACAGCAGCAACAAACTCACTGTTGAGTTCAGATCTAAGACTGTTTTGTCAAGTAAAATATATTTATCAAAGGCCCACTTTCATAAAGGGATGATAGTCCCATGATCATCGTACTTTAACATCGACTGGCAATAGTCGCAGTTCTAAGTAAAGCAAGGTTATTGTACCTTCGTATTGTATCGTCTCGTATCGTATTAACGCAAATACTGGATTCATGTATTTATCTGTCCTTTCAAGGGGTGTTATTTCCGAGAACCCATGACCATTAAGAACCATAAAAAAGGTGTCGACAGCTTTCATTTACACAGTGAAAAATGAAATCCCTAATATCCAATAATATGACTGAAATCTTATTGCCTTTGTGTGGCATATCTGGAACTGATGGACACTGTCCTTCTAATCCTTGATATTCTCCAGGGTATACGTTCCGATAAATCTCAACTAGTACCTGGATGTATCTACGGCTCGGCCCGATAATTGCATTACCTCCCTTTGCTGGCTCCGCATTCTCACAGTAGTCAATAAAATAAGCCGTTACAACCGAGCTTGCAAGTGTGGGCGAAGATGGCAGCCGCAGCCGCGAAGGTTTGCTCGCCGTGCGACTCAGATTTAAGGGGAAAATCATACTGACAAACTGACAGGTCTGAAACCTTCAAAAAATATATGCAAGTACTCTTTCTTCCTCTTTCAGGGTACCTCTGCAACGATTGTATTGCCAAGTGTAATCGGTTAGATGAAACAAGCGGAAGTGAGTTATGATAGAAGCCTTGTGACTGGTACGCTCGACTTCCAAGATAAGTTTAGATCAGTACATCGAGATGAAGATGGTGAGTCACGCGACATTCCGCGGATGCACTGTGGGACTGTAAACATGGCGACCGTTGTCGGATCGCTGTTTCATTGTGAGTCGAGCTGAGACATTTGTTCCGTCGAAATAGTTTAACGTAATGCTTTCACCAGTGATGTTAGGCGAGTGAAGCAAGGGCAAACCAAGAAACGGGTTGCTACGTAGTTAGTTGTACCGAAGAAGACTGTACCAGGCAATGACGACTGACATCGGTCACAACGGGTACGTTTGATTTCGAGGGGGCAGACTAGGATGGCGTCCTGACGTCAATACAGTGTGACGTAATGCAACTCGACTGTCATTACCTTTTTTGAACGTTTCTTTGTGGCCTGCAATTTCTGTCTTAATTGCGTCTTTCATCTTTCCAACGTTACGTAGGACACGTCTGAATCTTGGTGTTGGACACAATTGCAGAAGGGGAATTGCGTCTTCAAGAAACCCATCCCCGGCGTCTTCAAACAAGGCGTCTAGATTGCCGACGTATGTTTTATAGTTTTCAGACTCTGTAGATTGGCTAAAATGAAACATCATGGTAATTCCAAAACGTCAAAAGCTATTGCTTGCACCTGTCAGACTAAATATTTTATCCCTAACAACACAGCTAATTACAGATTTAATGTTTACTGTTGTGTTCAGTAAAATCATTGAGTGAAATGCTTCAATTCCGTCAGCCTGATTAGGGTGAGGGTGAAAAGATAAAAGGCATGTGTTCTTAACTGGTAATATCAGCAAAAATACGGAAAAAAATATACTATTTTGTTGATCATGTATATTACTTTTATCTGTGGTAGGATAACAGTCAAAGGTTAAACGACCTGATTTTATTGAACAACATTCCTGTTATCAAGTTGGAGACCGCCAGTGATAAGTAGGGGAAAGGATCAAAAGCTTCTTGTTCCTTTCTCATCAACTTTGTGGTGATGTTGAGTGACTGGGATACTTTCCGGCTCAAACTTTCTCCCTTTACATAAAGCCTACAATACAAAGGAAGCGGTATTATTACCCATATGGTGAAACATAACCAGTGTCATACATATCATATGTGTACATGTGCACATATCACATTTTCCTACCAACCATTGTTTCTGTATTTCGTCGTCTGTGACGTCATTAAACAATTGAACGTCACGTAGATGGAAGAGGGCCGTCACACTTGCTTACCGTGTTTTATTACCTACGAAGGCGAAAATATCGGGTTCATATTTTTCATACGATGCCCTAAGCCAAAAGATCACTTTGTCATGGTGACGTGACGTCATGAACAATGCCATGACGTCACATTTCTTCTATGACGTTGCGTTCAACATGCGTGTATCCATCCTATGTTTAAAAGTAGATTGGGGTTTATTTTCCTCAATTTGATGACTTCGGTAATAAACAGAATATTATATTCGTGCCCATATCATATATGTTTACCACATTCGTGCCTCAATATCGGTATATCCCTCGATCTCGCTCGGGAAATACCAACATATAGGCACTCGTGTCGTAAACATAGTATGACATGGGCTCTCATATAATATCCTCTATATACTGCACAAGTGTACATGAATAAAATGGATAATAAAGAAATTATTACACTCGAGCAAGTGTGTCATGTGACTTATACAAAACTCGTGCAAAATTATGTATTCCCCTCGCTTTCGCTCGAGAATTTCCCACTTGTTTCTATAAGTCGTATGGCACTCATGCTTGTGTAATAATCTCTACTTATGTATTCAAACGTTTATAGTCAACATTCTACTTTTACCTGTTTCAGGGATTAATCTTTGCTATGGTATGGTTTCACACAAAAATATGATGATAATATACATGCTTTAGTACCATACTTTACCATCATTTCTAAAGAAAATTAAACTTCATTACAAATTGAACTTCTTCAGAATTATATTGCTGATATTTCCCGTGAGACGTTTTGTTTTCAGTGGCCTATGATGGTGCCTTTACAACCCAGGCAAGTTATTCAATCTTCTCTTCAGCTCCAAACATTTGTTTCAGATTGGATCTCCTCAAAGATAGGATTATAATATGTATACTTCAAGCGCGCATTCGGGCTTTGTGTAACTGTGCATCATGAGAGGAATTAGTAAATTCGTTCACTCATTCATTCATTCAAAGTGAAAATTTACCTGAGTGCTTTGGACGTTAGTTTCCTGTGCCTCTTCCACGTTGGTCCGTAGGATGCTTGGAATATGCCTTTTCTTCCATCAGATACTGTATCAGCTATTGATACATAGATACATTAAATTAACCCGTACTGCCGACGTAACTACTAAGGAAGCCGTTCCCGCAAGCGGTATTACGGCAACGACTTTCGTGAAAGTACGCGAGTTATAGTCATCATGGTGCCCAGAATTACAGTTTATCTGCCTCCACAGTTTTACGACAAATACAAAATAGCTTAACAACAAAATAGTTTGCCAAATATCGTGGAGAAAAGGGTTGTATGGCTAACTACGACTTACAGATAAAACGTCACCTTTATCCATGCCTAAATACGTGATACGTAAATTGCGATGTACAGACCATTCAATACTCGTGAACAATCGGGTTAGACCTGATCTACAGTAACCCATGCTTGTCGTAAGAGGCGACTAACGGGATCGGGTGGTCAGGCTCACTGACTTGGTTGACACATGTCATTGTATCCCAACTGCGTAGAGTGATGCTCATGCTGTTGATCACTGGATGGTCCAGACTTGATTATTTACTGACTGCCGCCATAAAGCTGGAATATTGCTGAGTGCGGTGTAAAACTAAAGTCACTCGCTCACTCATAATAAAAAAAATTTCAAGTAAAGATATTGCCATGTTTGGCTGGTATGGTTTCTTACCAGAGTGGTTAGTGGATAGCCTAGTGGTTAAAGCGTTCGCTCGTGACACTAAAGACACGGGTTCGATTCCCAAATTGGGAAAAAATGTGTGAAGCCCATTTCTAGTGTCAGCCCCCCGTGACATTGCTGGAATTTAGCTAAAAGCGGCGTAAAACTAAATTCACTTACTCACTCTTACCTGAAAATATGTCTGGCCTCCCTGCGAAGTCTGCATGTTTTGTAATGAGAGCCTCCGTCACAACGTCGATCCGACTCAGAATAATTGCAGTGCGAGTGCCTGTGAAAATATATAATTATGACGTTCACTTCTTCTGAGAACCAGTGAAGGTCGTGTTAGAATATTGATGTTCAGTAACCCATGCTTGTCGTAAGAGGGATCGGGTGGTCAGGCTCGCTGACTTGGTTGACACATGTCTTCGGTTCCCACTTGCGCAGATCGATGCCCATGCTGTTGATCACTGGATTGTCTGGTCCAGACTCGATCATTTACAGACCGCCGTCATACAGCTGGAATATTGCTGAGTGCGGCGTAAAACTAAACTCACTCACTCACTCTTCTGAGAAAGGGGGGCGGTGAAGTAGCCTAGTGGTAAAGGCGTTCTCTGGTCACGCCGAAGACCCGGGTTCGATTCCCCACATGGGTACAATGTGTGAAGCCTATTTCTGATGTCCATCGACATGATATTTTTGGAACATTGCTAAAACGCAGCGTAAAACAAACCACACTCACTCATTCTACTGAGAAAAAACAATGATTTCACCGATAATACTTCACAAATCAAATCATGAAAGGTGGTTAAGCATTTGCGTGCGTTGGAAGGACTTCTGTTGTTTCCTTGTTGAAACAGACACCCACTTTTGCAAAATTGCACAACTCCCATCCACCACTCATGTCAACCCAACCATTTCACGCAATCACAGTATGAACGCTGACTCAGCAATCACGCGTAAATCAACCATTCCATGACTACAATGTTACACCATCCATTACAACAACAGACTACAACAACCACTTGATATCACAGATAACATAAACAAATTATTTAAAATATTCAAATCTCTAGGAAAGCTCACTGAAAGAATGAGTTCGTGAGTATGCTTTTGACTTTCAGCAATATCACGGAGGAGGACACCTAAATTGGGCTTCACACATTGTACCCATGTGGATTCGAACCCGGGTCCTCGGCGTGACGAGCGGCCGCTTTAAACATGAGACTACCCAACCACCACCACCACCCCAGACATTGAGATAGGGCTGTATACATTATACATGAACAGAAATAGTGTACTGATAGTGACATCACCTGAAGTGTCTTTCTGTAACCCTGACCTCCCCCGATTGGGCAATCTGATTTTACGCGAAGGGAAATATTTCACTTTATGACAGTCTGTCACTGCAATTGGCCTTCAGCTACCCATGCTTGTCGTAAGAGGTTACTAACGGGATCGGGTGGTCAGGCTCGCTGACATGGTTGACACATGTGGTATCCCATTTGCGTAGATCGATGCTCATGCTGTTCATCACTTGTCTGGTCCAGACTCGATTATTTACAGACCGCCGCCATATAGCTGAACTACACGACGGGTGTTACAACAAGTCTTAATACGTCAATGTCGTTAAACCGGCAAACCTACCGATCTTAATCTTCATAACTGGCCCATACTTCCTGCTGAAAGCACGCAGTTGCCGGAACAGAAGAACTCCTCGTATCTCTAGAGAACAAAAAACGATATTATATTTCAAAATTCACAAAAAAATATCACAACGAAAATAATGGATCAGACCTTGTCACGTCCATGCAAAACAAAAAACAACTGGGATGTTGGCCATCTGTTGTCCAGGGCACATGAAAGTTAACAAATCCAACATTAGAAAGGTAAAGTGTACATCTATCATTTCTTATAGGTGTATAATGCCAATATACGGAATAAGACGGACTTCAACATAATTCCATTACCGCGAAGGTTTCCAATCAATGGCCATCCCTTGGGTCCTGGTGGTAGGTTGTATCGTTTCTTGAAGAGATTATAGGCGATCACTCCAACCACACTCCCAACAACAAGAGCCTGGGTTATCACAGACTGCGGCCACAACTGAGTTAAACAGTCAAACATCGTCCTTGCTTAGAAGTTTCTTTAGCTATGCTTGATTCTGAAACAAAGTGAACTATTCAGTCATTTTTACGTTCCATCTCCAAACATCAGAATACATGGTTCATAATGAAAGACACACTTTTAACTACGAGTTTCATCACTCACGGTGTTGTAACGGGGAGAAAGAGTTGAAACTGGTTGAACACAACCTTGGCTCCAAGAGTCGATGCTGAATACAAGACGGGTGGTTCCTATATATACGACGCACTGCCCTAAAGCTTTGTCACAGTGCCACCTGGCCTGATGGCTGTTGCCTAATGACTTACATCCGAGTGAAATGGCCCATGGCAGTCTAGCCCGTTTTAAAGGTACACTCTTAATTGACGGTTTAATTACTTTCATACAAGACGATGGTAATTTCCTACATCTGCTTACAAAGGGTTAATGAGCAATACTCATATCATCGGGTTCTATGTGCCTCCTCATGTCACAGTTGGTATGCTGGCATGGGATCAACACTGTGCCGACATTCCGTCGGAATTCTATTAATTAATAGGTAAACATACTGTGTTGAAAAATCAGAGGTATATAACGAAATTGTAATAGGTCTAAATCTGATTTAAAGCCGAACACGTAATATTACAGTCATATCAAGTGTCAATTCTAACATAACCGTGTTATTAAGATTTTGAAAAAATACACACTGTGTTGGAAAATCAGAGGTATACAGCGTCATGATATACCTCTGAATAACTTTAATTAACCAATCACAATCCAGTATTTACTGAAGTCATGGTAGAATTACATTTAACTCTGTTAACAAATTTACTTCAGGCTATTTTCTGAATTCTTGCTTAAGAGAAAGTATCGATGTTGCTATCGATAATTATTACTATAAGTATTTAACTGATTCTATTTTACCAGTTAATATAATAGAAACTAGTGTATGTCTGTCCACCATCAACAACAGAAACAGTGTTAAAAGAGCATTATTTATTTTTTTAAATATTTTTATTTAGTTCAAGAGTATACATATATTTACATAGTCTTAATATACACTACATTGACTCAATCTAGATACATTTAAATGTCAAATATCTAAATGTCAAATACATTTTCACATGTTAAACCAAAATATATACTGAGACTGGAACTACTGAAGCATACCCACCCATCCATTTTGCTTAAATTCATATTCTTTATTGCTCTTTGTTGCAATATATACTCATGCCAATAATGGTTGTCACCCCTCCCACCCCAACCCACACCTCACCCCCAACCCCCTTTCCAATTAAAAAAAATTGAAGGGGGTGACAACCTTTATTGGCATGAGTATATCTTTCTATTTTCATTATCTCTTTGGGAGATTTCTTGAATTTCTAAAATTAAAGGAATGTTATTTTTTATGCTCATATTATGTATGTATTTCTTGGCTAGGAGAATGATACGATTTATGAGATAATCTGAGTAATGGGAACCAAATAAGAGTGTGGACTTAGTAAGGACAAAACCTGGTATTTTGTCTTTCAAAAAAGCTTCAAAGTGAGACCAGATGTTGTTGATATGCTGACAATAATAATACACATGTTCTATATCTTCTCTTTCTTCCGTACAGAACGAACAAACATCGTCATCAACAATTGTCATATATAGCAACTCACGTTTGGTGTAAATTATCTTGTGAATACATTTGTATTGAAAATCGATCAATTTAACATCATTAGTACATTTTCTAAATTTAGTGAATATATATTTCCAGTTCATATCTTCAGGAAATTTGGTTTTCCATTTTGTACAGACCTGAGGTAGATTGTCTTTCTTTATCAAGGTATCATAAAAGTATTTACAACCTTTAGAATATTTTAACATTTATTCTTAAGGGTTCTGGAATGTTGATATTTTCTCCGATGAAATCTCGATTAAATATAGATTTTTCTCCATTAGATTTTTCTGCATTAGACATAGACTTTCTCCATTAGATATCTTATAGATTTTCTCCATTGGATATATATTTTCTTAGTTAGATATTTTTTTCACCATTGGATATAGATTTTCTCAATTAGATATAGATTTTCTCCATTAGATATGGATTTTCTCCTTTAAATATAGATTTTCTCCATTTGGAGAGGAATATTTAACAACATTTTATTGTAATGTAGTTTAAATATATCATCTACAGGAAAACTTTTCTTATGTTTGTTATTTCTAATATATCTTGGAGATATGATCATTTTAAGGCTGTGACAAATGAAGTGATATCTATCATTCTAAGCCCTCCTTCGTCATAATCTCGCATTATAGTTTCCCGTTTAATTGTATCTTTTTTGCCATTCCATAAGAAGTCAAATATATCTTATTAAGATCTTTGATGAAAGATTCTGGTGGTTTAGGTAAAGCAGTAAATATAGATTATGCTATTAATTGCTTGTGTCAATCTAGACGATAATCCCATGATGTAGTGACATTTGTTTCACAATAGTAATGCCATTAAATATAGATAACAGCTGTTTGTGTTACAGTGGAAAGCAATTCATAGATGGAGTTGTCTCCCATGTAGTAGTAATTAGACAGACCATACATGCAGCTGAAGACATAATTAGATATAAGGCAATAACTTAAATTGATAGCATAGTATGATCAAGTTTTATGCTGTAACATATGTTACACTCAGCAATACAATGTATAGAAAGCGTTTCATTGATGTTGATGCATTCCAACGTATCATTGATCGATGCTCATTATGGCAATAGCTACTGTTTGCGAGTCGCTGTTACATTGCTGGAGCATTACGGACCGCTCATAACTTATGAGTACTGGGAGTGATGATGATTTTACGGGAGCGGGGAAGGGGGTTCACCCATTTTGTTCCGGGGATGTAGGGGGTCATCAATTTTGTACACATGGGCTTTCATTATATGACATGCAGTGGAGGTCACTTACCTTGTGCATAAATTTTAGGGTGGTCATTCAGACATTCAGATCGAACACGCTTTCCATAAAAATTATCGTCACAAACCACCAATGCACTCCCCCTACCCAACCACCCCACCCACCCAAAACACACACCCGACTATAAATTCATAAATTATGAGCAGTCCCTTATTGAGTCCGACGTTAAACAAGAGTGAGTGAGTGAATGAGTGAGTGAGTGAGTTGATATTTAACGTCCCGTCGGCAATATCTCAGCCATGTCGTGACTAAAACAAGTTCTAAACAAGAGTGAGTGAGTAAGTTTTACGCCGCATATGGCGACGGTCTGTAAACAATGGAGTCTGGACCAGACAATCCACTGATCAACAGCATGAGCATCGATCTGCGCAATTGGGAACCAATGACATGTGTCAACCAAGTCAGCGAGTCTGACGACCCGATCCCGTTAGTCGCCTCTTACGACAAGCATGGGTTACTGAAGGTTCATTCTAACCCTGACCTTCACGGGTTCAATTACCAGGTGCTTCCACTTCAGTGAAACCGTTTCTCTGGTTGGCAGTATAGTAAAATCAGCTCTTTCATATATACCTCCTTTCAAAAGTTTAGATTCACGTAAAACACTCACTATATGTTATGTATAATATATATATATACACACACACACACATCCATACATATATATATACACACATACACGCACACACACACACACACACACATATATATATATATATATATGGTTACATCGAAGTTTGATTTCTCCACTAACTTGGGGGAACAAGCCTCAAACCTTATGCAGATGAATTACATGAGGATCATGCATCAATTTGCTGAAAAGCATGTGCAAATATCGTGCATGTGAACAGCTGCGTTTTGGTGTAAAGTTTTGTTAAGAATTCGCCATTTTTCACTGATTTTTATAATTTATTGAACTCATGACAATACTCTTTTCAACTTTAGGAATTCGTTTTACAATACATCAATTCATGTGTAAACAGTAAACAGTATGGGACATTTTGCAAAATTTAGTTTAGAACAGTTGCCTGAAGTAAGTGGTTATATTTACACTAGTGAATCTAAACTTTTGAAAGGAAGTATATAAGCACATTATTTGTTATAATATGATTATCAACGAAATGAAATGACTAAATTGCACGTTATTTTATGTTTATAAAGTTTGCTTTTCGGAAATTTCTTTTTTGTTGGTTGGTTAGGGGTCCCCATCAGGCTCATTTAGCAAGTTATCTGGAGCAGTAAGTGAGTGAGTGAGTGAGTTTTACCCCACTTTTAGCGTACAGTACAGTACATGCAACTGTGTATGTAAAGTGATATTTTCTGTAAGTACTCGAAAGACCAACTTTAACTAAACTTAAAAATTGTTTTAATACGACCTGTTCTCGAATAGGCATCCAAAGTCTAGGATAACTGTACCTATGCCAGATCTGATGAACATTAAAAGACTTATGTGTAAAAAGCTGGAACAGTTACTCGTCCAGTTAAATACGTATCTCGATCTTATCTATATTATAAAACAGGATGGAAGAGAAGACGGAAATCTGCTTGGTTGGTAGGTTGGTTGGTTGGTTGGTTTGTTGTTTAACGCTGCACTCAGCAAATTCCGGCTATATGGCGGCGGTCTGTCAGTAATCGAGTCTGGACCAGACAATCCAGGGAACAACAGCACGAGCATTGATCTATACAGCTGGGATACGATGACATGTGTCAACCAAGTCAGCGAGTCTGACCACCCGATCCCGTTAGTCGCCTCTTACGACAAGCATTGGTTACTGAAGATCAATTCAAACCCGGATCTTCTCTGGTGCTTAGTACCAGAAGTAACGCCTCGCGAGACATACAGGCCCAATATTGATACATTTGTCCGTTGTCTGTATAACCGTTTGTGGAAAATTCGTTTTAAGTTGGACAACGTTTGCCTAATCCTTTTGACACTGTTGTCAATAATATGTTTCAAAACTGCATATTCACCACCTTTAATTGCCACTGTTATATGTGAACATGTAACTCTGCACGCAATCCATTTAACTATAGTTCATACGGACTAATTATAATGCCACAGTTATTGATCGTTT